TCCGGGGATCCAAGACGGCAGCAAGGGCCCCTGAAACCGCCCAGAGACAACCCAAGAACGTCCCAGAACGGCCCATCAGACGCCCAAGACAGCCCAAGGGGACCCCAAGAAAACCCCAAAGAAGCCCAAGACAGCCCAATTCTCACACTCGTCATCCCCGTCTTCGTTATTATGTACGTTGTTCATCCCTCGCGAACACAAGGGATGCGGGACTTGCCGCAGGCAGCGGGATAGCCGTAGTCGTGCCTATGAAGAAACCCGCGTAGCCAACTCCTCGAGGCTGTGAAAGGCGTATCTTTGCAGGCCCCCTTGATCTTGATGAAACCAACTTGCCTGCCATTGGCGTTCAGGTACTCAAGTCTCCTCTTCCATTTGTCCTGCTGCAAAAGCCGACGCAACCACCAAGGGCTCACTTTCTGGTGCTTTTTGGCCCGCCTCTCGCACGCTGTGGCAAGCAGCTTCTCGAAACGAAGCATCAATGGAGATTTAGCCAAACTGTCCCGCTGGGCCAAGGCCCCCCGCTCCTCCAGGGCAGCATTTTTGAATCCGCTCCCACGCCTCGGGCGTGGCCAGGGGCGCCTCCAGAGCCCTCAATCCCCAACCTGGCCTTAGGCACGCCCCGCCCCCCCATGGGGGGCAGGGAGCGGGGGCGAGGGGCGGGGGAAGGAGGGGGACTGATGGGAAGACGATAAGGCATATATAAAGGACAATGGAATGAGAACATGGGTGGGGGATTTGCACAGGAGAGAGAGAGAGAGAGAGAGAGAGAGAGAGAAAGAGAAAAAAAAAAGAGAGAGAGAGAGAGCGAGAGAGAGAGAGGGAGAGAGAGAGAGAGGGATACGTAGACGAAGACAATGAGATAATATATATATACATACATATAGAGAGAGAGGGAGAGGAAAGCGGGGGAATGGCATTTCTGTTGCCGAAAAACGCCCACGCCACAACCCAGGCATGATAGCGGCAAGGGGGCCGACAGGCGACCAGTATACCTTCGCGCGGTCCCGGTCCCAGCGGGCGATGACCGAAAGTGGGGCATGGAAGTGCTCGACGGCGTCGCCCCGACTCGCTGCGTGCTTTTCCATCCACAAGATCACCTCACGAGCGTTCACCCATGTATCCGCCGACCCCTCGTGGCCGGGGGACAAAGGTGCGCGCGACATTTCGCTGTCCAGTTCCCTTTCGCCTTGGTCAGATGCGTATGTTTAGCATCCCCTCCCCCCTTCGTTTCAACGGTTCCCAGGCGGACCATGCACTGTTGCGGGCACCGCTGTTGCGAGCACCGAAGTCACCGACTTCGGTGGAGCTGCCTCTGGGGCCACGAAACGCGCGGGCATGTGCCAGAACGAACACGCGTCCGCAATCGGGCGCTGCCACTCGGGCCTTCGGTGACACTCCCTATGGGGCGCGTCTCATGCACGCGAAGATACAAGACCGCAGGATGGCTGGGAACAAGCAGTGCCCGCACGGAATCCCAGAAGCCCCCAAGACGACCCAAGAGAGCCCCAGGAAAGCTTCTTTCAAAAGACGGCCTCAGAGGGCCCAAAAGCCCCCAATACGGCCCACCAGCAGCAGGGAAGGCACCCATGAGCCCGCCAGGACCCCAGGCCATTTGATCACTTCCACGTCCGTCGCAAGCTCTTACCCCTTCTGGGGGTCGGCGGAGCGGCGTAAACCACTAGGATGTACGTTGCGGCTGCCGACGCCCTTGGTGCCAGTGCGGCCTGGTTTCTGCACGATGTGTGGCGACGTCACCATGCGCCCGGACCGCTTGTGCACGAGGGCAGGGACATCGATGAGGCCCCAGACGCCTGGTGGGCCCCAGACGCCCTGCAAGGTCGAAGGTGGTGGGCCCCAGACGACGTCGCCCGCGGCGAGTGCCTCAGGGGCCCAACCGAAAGGCTGATGCTCGAGCAGTTGCTGTCGACGCTGCTCCTCGGCCTTCTCTCGCAACAACGCCGCGTGGACGGTGGACACGTGCCCCATGAAGCCCGCCTTGTTGGTGAACCCGCTCTTGCCGCAATACTCGCACTTGAACTCTGTCGTGGGTGGCGGGGGCGGGGGCTCAGCCTGCGTCCACACCTGTCCTTCCGAATCGACTTTGACCTTTTTGATGCCCATTGAAAACAAAGTTCTGGTACCTGCTCCACGTTTCGTCTTGGCGTTCCCTTTCTTTGGCGGTGTCATGGCAGCAGCGGCAACGCGAGCTTTGGCAGCGCGCCTCAAACGAGAACCCATTGACGTTTCCGAATCCTGTCGTCGAAGAACCCTGGAAGAAGAGGCCGCAGGCATCCCTCCGCGGAGGCGGAGCACCAGTTCAAGGCAAGAGTGCCGCTGGATGTGGTAATGGTCGAGCTGCTCATCGTCCTCCATCTGCTTCCCAGCAAAGATCAAGCGCTGTATGTCCGGAGGGATCCCCTCCCTATCCAGAATCTTCGATTTGACGGTGCCGACTGTGTCATGGGGTTTGACGTCCAGTGTGATAGTCGCGCCCGCCAGC